GACAAAGTCTTCCAGGACTCAAACCCAGGTGGGTCAGGAAGCCAGGTAGCTGCTCCACCTGCCAATGTCACATCTACTCCCTCTCCCTCCACCTCTCCAGGCTCATTTCAATCGCCCCCTTCCCTTCCTCTGGCTTTGACCCCCACCCCGGTGCCTGACACCCGCACTCCCACTACCATGCGGCCCCACCTAGATCCTTAACAAGCAAGCAATCAGGTGGAGGGTCAAATCCTGTTTCCCGGCTTACGTTTACCCAGCACCCCGACATCCACCCCCTCATTCACGGATCAGGAGGGTTCTGTCACTCCTCTCCTGGTGGCATCACACCTCCACCCTGCTCAGAACTCCAGGGGTTGTCTGGCTGCGAGTTGAATTCATCCTGTTACTGTTAGTGTCTCCTGGGCATCCTCTGGGTGCCAGGCCATGCTGGGAGTCAAGGATTCGAAGCCAGGTAGGTCTGCACGTGTTCTGCCCTCTCGAAGCTAACAGTCCAGACAGGGAGGCGGACAGCGCAGAGAGAAGCAGCCTTAATGGGAATATACCCCCTGGAGGTACCGAATACACGTGTGCCTGGAGACCACACATGAGTATTCACAGCCACAGACGGGAACACCTGGGACGTCAATCATAACTAAATAGATCGCAGTATATTCATTCAATGGGACGCTCCTCAGCAGGGGTTGACAAACATGTTCTGTAAAGGGCCAAGTACTAAATACTTTACACTTTGCGAGCCATATGGTCTCTATCACAGCTACTCAACTCTGCTGCTGTGGGGCAAAAGCAGTCATAGATGAGCCGTGAATGGCTACGCATGGCTCTGTTCCAATAAAACTTTACTTGTGGACACGGAAAAGGGGATACCGTCATCACTCGGTATCCACGGGGCATTGGTTCCAGGACCCACCATGGATACTAAAATCCACAGATGCTCAAGAGAGGGGGTATCTTGTGCGGGTTGAGGGGTACAGGGGCTTTGGGACACTAGAATGTTCTCTCTCTTGAGCTGGGTGGTAGACACACAGGGCTATTTATTTAATATGTATTGTACTTTTCTGTGTCTGTATTATTTTTCATGATATAATGGCATAGGATTCATAAAATGGCATAGACCGTCAACTGGATATATCTTAAAAAACATAATGTTGAGGGACTTCACTGGCGGTCCAGTGGCTAAGGCTCCACGCTCCCAACGCAGCAGGCCCAGGTTCGATCCCTGGTCAGGGAACTAGATCCTGCATGCATGCCGCAACTAGGAAGTCCGCACGCCACAACTAAAGATCCCACACGCCGCAATGAAGATCCACGTGTCGCAACTAAGACCTGGAGCAGCCTAATTAATTAATTAATTAACATAAATAAATAAAATTATTTTAAAAAACAAAACAAAAAAACATAATGTTGAGTGAAAGATGCAGGTCGCAAAGAACACCCACGGTATCATTCTGATTATACAAAGTTCAAAAACAAGCCAGACCCATCTATAGTACTTGGGGACGCAAACCAAAGGATACAAGTATAAAGAAATGCCAGGAAGCGATTGCCCCAAATTCAGGATCGTGGTGCCTCTGAGGGGAGAGGGGTTGTCTTGGGGGTGTCCAGAGGCTTTGGGGCACTAGCATGTTCTCTTTCTTGACCTGGGGGGTAGACACACAGGATTTTGTTCTATAATATCTATTGTACTTTCCTGTGTATCTATGCTATTTCACAATTTTAAAAAAGAAAGAATGACAACAGGACCAACTGGAATGGCATCTGAACCCCTACCTGACGAGCATTTATAATCCACCTGGAATCATATCTCAGTGGGAGTTGTATCCCACAGCTCTGCTAAGAGACCCTCCTCCCCAGTCAGACTGAACCTCTCACCGTTCCCTCGCCCTGGCTCTGCCTTCCGACCTCCCAGCCTTTATTCATGCTGTGCCTGCCACCCACCCACCTGCTCTGTCTCCTCCCTGTCTCCCCTTCCAACACTCCCCCTGCCCCACCTCCAGCAGAGAGGTGCTTCTCGTCTGCCAAGACTTGAAAGCTCTTTATCGGGATTAGACGAAGATGAAAAGCAGAGGCCAGTCCTGACAGAGGCCCAGAGCTGCGGGAAGGGAGGCAGCAGGCTCCCGAGCATCTTGTGGGCAACAAAGGGAGCGGTGACCCTGAGCCCAGAGCAAACGGGGGAGGGGAGGCGAGCCTGCATCGGTACTCCGGCCTTGGGTCTTGTTCTGTGGGTGAGTCTCACGGACTCCACCAGGCTTGGGGTGGGGGCTGTGGCTTGTTCACCACCAGGTCCCCCCAGTGCCTAGAACTGGTCCTCTTCAATGAATATTTGAGAGATAAATACAGCCCAGAGCTCTGGAAAGGCCAGGGAGAGAAAGAGGACTGACTTTTTTGAGGACACTGAGGCTCAGAAAGGTTAAGTAACTTGCCTGAAGTCACACAGCAGTCAATATAAGAAGGCAGGACTTGAACATGGTCTGTCTGGCCTCAGAGCCCTTGCAGGTGACTTGAGACTTGGTGGAAGCAGGGCTAGAGCAGGTGTGCAGCTGCTCCCAGGAAAGCTGAGCCTCAGACTCAGATGATTCACCTCTGAGGAGAGCAGGAGGAGGAGGGCTGGGAGCAACAGAGGTCCTGAGGTGCCATCCGAGGGTGTGCTGGAGACCCCTGGAAAAGTCGAAGTGACCCCAAGGAACCCGTGGGCTCCCCAAGATGTAGAGCCAGCCAACTGAACCTTGCATTTCGATTGGCTCCTCTAGGCTGGCAGGTGGCTGACATTCTCTGAGCCCTAACCACATGCCCTAACCTCAGTCTGGGGATGGGCCACCAGCAAGCACTCCTGTCGCACCCACTTGACAGATGAGGCCATCGAGGCACAGCAACATTAAGAACCTGCCCAGGGGCCCAGGATGAGTTGCAGCGCTCAGACCCAAACTCAGGCCTGCAAACGCCCCTGGCCTGCACTCAACGCTGCATCAGGCAGTTCAGGGAAACGGTGCATCAAGCCAAAGCTTCATGGACGATATGCTCCGCAAGGCCCCCGGTGGACACAGCTGAGGCCACAGGCTGGGTCTTGGTGCTGGCAGTGGTGGAGCTGTTTGCACCAGGCTGATGGGTGAGGTCAGGGGAGGTTTGGGGGACATAGGAGGGGTAGGATTCCCTCCACCAAACCCTCCACCAAACCCTCTTGCTCAGAGACAAGAGGGTGGGGAAGGGGTGTGGCACAGCAGAGAGACAGAGCCAGGTGCCCACAGGGGAAGGACCAGGAATAATGGGGTGCTGTCTGCTGCTCCAAGAGGTTCTAGAAGGGACCTCCCTGGTGCTCCAGTGGTTAAGACTCCACGCTCCCAATGCAGGGAGCATGGGTTTTGTCCCTGGTCGAGGAACTAAGGTCCCAGATCCCGCATGCTGCAAGGCGCTGCCCCAAACTAAGAGAGTTTCTAGGAGACCACAAGGTGTTTCCATCTCTTGCGAAAGAGCAGTTTCTCTTCTGCATGTTTGCTGCAATACTGGGGGGGAAATCTGTTGTTTCTTTCCAGTCAAGAGAGTTACAGAAATGCTTCTCACAGCAGCACCCCGAAAAGCCTCTTCCACTCAGGTACTAGGATGTGCCAGGTCCCTTCTGGGGAGGAGGGACCACACAAAGAGAAATGATGGGAATTGGGGGGAAATTAAGTTAAAAATGAAAAAGTAGGCGTTCCAACACATTGTCACCCACAAGCCACATTTCCTCAGGCCATCTTTGCATCTGTCCATGGGTGGGTGAGGGGGTGTGTGTGAGGTGCCCAGATGAAAGGAGATGACCTCACAGGGGGCCGGGCCTCAAGGCCTGCAGTAGGTGCCACACAGTCAAGTCTTGCCTCCCCAGGGGGGTAGATCTTTCTGTGAAGAATGTTCTTTACAAAGAAAGGTAAGAGGACCCCCCAGAGCCCACTGCCAAGAGTCCTGGCTCGGGGCTGAACCTGGCCTCTATTTACCCTCCAGGCCATGGGCAAGCTACCTGGCCTCCCTGGGCCTCAATTTCCCGGTTCCTGAATGGTGCCAGTGGGGACAGCACCCCAAGGGAGCCTCGAGGGGGCCTGAGTACGCATGTGAAGCCCAGCTTATGTGCTCAAAGAGGCTAATTCATGATAATAAGAATAGCTGTTATTGTTTATGGTATAACCGAAAGGCAGAGGATGAAGTAGAGAGTGGAGAGCAGCTCCTGGAAAGCTCATAAAAGTCAAGGGGAAGGGGAAGGAAAGCACCCAGCCTGCACCGCGGAGGGCAGGGGGAGGACTCCTGGGGCTGCAAGAAGGTCGGCACTGCCCAGGTGAGATGGCACTGCCCAGGTGAGACCGAGCCTCAGGGACCCCGGGGTGGGCAGCCCTGGCCAGGGACGCTCCTGGGAGTTCCCTGGCCTGGATGAACTCGCCCCAAAGCCACTCATCCCAGCGCCTGGCTTGGATCCAGTCCACCCAGCTTCGGAGGGAACCTGGGACCAGGAAAGGGGCACAGTGTCAGCCCCCGGAAAGTAATGATGTGGCCTCTGGTTGTATTTCAGGAAGTGGGAGGTGCCCCCCTTTCTGGCAACAGTGGCAATTCTGTGCCCCAGGCATTGTGCTCCCATGGCCAGCAGCTGCCTCCCTCCTCCCCCAGCTAAGAGGGGCCACACCTGGGCAGGTTCCATGCGGTGGCTCCACTGTAAGCTGCCTTGGGAGTTTACAGGGATTGCCCACCCAACTGGATGCCCCCAGGCCGCAGCAACGCCCACCCACCTCTTTGAAGGGCCAGGAGGTCAGGCTGTGCTGGTAGGGAGGCTGTTTCAGCAGCGAGGGTGGGGAACGCTGCCCCCACCTCTTCAAAGCCACCTTGGCAAGGCCTTAGCTAAACATCTCCTGGTCCCTGAAGGCTTCCCCTGTGAAGTCTGCAATGTTCAAACGCAACCAGCAAATCCCCCGAGACAGGTCCCGGGAACTAGCTGCGGGGCAACACGAGCCAGAGAGGAGCGCGTGGGAAGGAGGATGGCGTACCTGTGCCTGCGAGCTGCAGGGTCCAGGGGAGCAGGAACAAGCCCAGGAGCCGGGGGGCTGGGATGGGGCCCGGTGGGGCCCGCCACCAAGGAGGCCGGCTCTCCATCGGGGCCCCCGGGTCAGTGTCCCTCCTTCCTCTTTAGCTCACACGAGGAGACAGCCTGCTGGCATCCACAGTTCCCCTTGGCTTAGCCAATAAGCTCCTCCCTGGCCGCCCTTCCGCTTCCTCAAGGCCTCAGTTGGCCCCCTTGTCCTCTCAATAACCCCAGAATTGGGCTTCCCTGGTGGCGCAGTGGTTGAGAGTCCGCCTGCCGATGCAGGGGACACGGGTTCGTGCCCCGGTCTGGGAAGATCCCACATGCCGCGGAGCGGCTGGGCCCGTGAGCCATGGCCGCTGAGCCTGCGCGTCAGGAGCCTGTGCTCCGCAACGGGAGAGGCCACAACAGTGAAAGGCCCGCGTACCAAAAAAAAAATAAAAATAAAAAAAATAACCCCAGAATTTCCACTCAAGTAGTGGGAACAGCCCCAGGCCAGGTGGCCGGCCTCCAGGTGAGGATCTTGTCCAGGGGAAGAGTTGGGAGGGGCTAGGCCTCCCAATCCCCCCGGGGGGTGGGCTTCTCCCTCCTCAGCCCCTTTCCAGCTAGTGGCCTGTCCAGAAGACACTGGTGACAGAGGTGGGCACAGGATTTCCATGGGATTTCCAGGGCTGGTTTAGCTGCTCACGCCTGAAACTCTTAACAAAAACAAAAAGCCATCCCCATTCACAGAAAGTTCCCCTCGGAAATAGTCCAGGAGCCCGTTGGATTAAGGTGCTCCTCCAAGAGTAGGGTTTTGGGTGTGGGAGCAGGGGGTGGAAGTGGTCGGGAGGATGGGACAGGGCAGGCCGTCAGGGGGAGGGCAGGAGCCACAAGTTCCCCGCTTTCCACGGGGCCAAAGAGCCCGTCATTAGTCCAGTGAAGGCCACCCTGGGTGCCCCGCAGAGGCCCAGCCAACGCCTCCCCTCTGACCGACCTCACATGAGATGTCTTCCCTCCCTGCAGCTTCCCTAAACTTGAGCCACCGCTTCTCCACCAGGAGACACGTGCATTTCTTCCCCATCCAGCCAGAACAGCAGCCCCTGTCCCCCCTCCACAGGCCCCAGCACAGGTAATTCTTTGCCGCCTGGGCCCCTTTCCCCCGCAGACTGGGAGCCGCTCGGCCTGGCCTTCTGGAGCCCAGCACCGGGCAGGGCCGAATGTGGGGGGACAGAGGTCTGCCACGTGTCCGGAGTGGCAGAGGGAAGGGGTCTGGGGAGGTGGTGAGAGGAGCCAGCTGGCACGGGAGGAAGGCGGGCTGAATGGAAGGTGATGTGTTTCAGCGCAAGCTGAGCGCTTCCCCTCCTTTCCCCATTAGTGCCCATCAACCCTCAAGATAAAGGTTTTTATCCCAATTTGACAAACTACGCCCCCGAGAGGCAAAGCAACTTGCCGAGATCAGGGTGGGTACCTGGGGCGGGCATTCAGTGCCCAGCTGTGTGAAGCCGGAACCTCTCTCCCCACCCCTGACGCGGCCCCCAGGGATGGCAGGACGGGGTCCAGTTTCCGCCCTTCGTCTGAGTGCTTTCCCCTCAGCCACTTAGCACACAAACAATGAAAACCAGAAGCCGTTTCCCACCAACTCCAGGAATGCCAGGAGGATGGCAAGCAGCAGGGCCCGCCCACCAGGTGAGGAAGACGTATGAACACAAGACATTTCCTACTGGCTGGGGGGCGGCAGGGACCCCAGTGGTATTGACTGTGGATCTATCACAGTGATACATGATAGCATATGTCACAGTGAGACACAGATAATCTGCTTCACGCTGCTTCCGAGCTCCTGGGGGGAGCAGGTTGTCTAAGCACCTCGATACCATGGTGATAGACGTCATGTTAATGCCTCCACGCACGGAGGGAGCACTGTAAAGGCATCAGTCTGTGCCTCTGGGGTCTCTTTAGGACTCGGCATCGGAAGGCAGCCGAGCGCCAGGCAGCCTCGGAACACGGACCCGGGCTCTGCCTCCACACCTGCCTGTCCACTCCGGGGCTGCTCTACCTTCCCCCGGCCATCAACACAAGGCCCTGGGCCCCCTAACGGTGCAGCCCACCTCCGGATCTGCACGCTCGGAGCCCCAGGAGCTTTGCCACCTCTGAGCCCAAGTCCAGCCCACGGCCTCTTGCCTGCCTGTGGCCTTCTGTTTGTCTTCTTTACCTCTGACCCCGCCGAGCCTAGCACAGTGCCGGCACCTAGTATGTGCTCGATAAATACTGGTGCATGAATGATGCATGAATGAGCATAAGACGGGGGTAAAGTGCCTCCTGCCCAGGCTTGCTCTGAAGGTGGGTGCCTAACATCGAGCCTGGCTCATAGTAGGCTCCCTTCAGGCCCCCGTGGGATGGCTGGACTCCAGGGTGGGGCAGGAGGAGGGCCATGCCCCGGGCAGATGTGACTTGAAAAGAAGTGGCTGGGGGTCTTGGGTCATTGTTGAGTTTCGTAGATGTTCTGAAGCCACTCAGTCTCCTGGGGAGAGGCAGGCATGGACCTTGGGTGGGGAGCCAGAGGGCCCAGGTTGTACTGTCTGGGCCTCAGGAACAAGGGTGATGGAAGAGAAACCACAGCACATCCAGAAACCTCATTTTCTTCAAGACTCTCCACCTCCTCTCACTGAAGTGGCCACCAAGCAATGAACTTGCTGGACTTTGGTCCATAGGCTTCTCCTCTCCCCTGCCCTTGGTAGGAGCTTCGAATAAGTGGGTGAAAGGAAGAGCAGAGGACATGAGGCCTCTGTTGGCATCCCCAGTGGGTAGCCAGGAGCTTCGTGGCCTTTGGGCCAGGCCTCCACAGCTGAGTCTGCAGGCGAGGGCCCTGGGGCCTGCATACTCAGCCCCTGCTCTTGTCCAGTCAACTGTCTGCCTGTCCACCCATCCATCCATCTATCCCTTCACATTTTGCTGAGCACCTGTTCTTCACCAGGCACTGGCCTCAACAGAAGGATGCAGAAGTGAAAGACCCCAGCTTCGAGGAGCCCATGTCTCCGGGCAGGGGGAGAACTATAATATATATATATATATATATATATAGAGAGAGAGAGAGAGAGAGAGAGAGACGCCTAATATATAGGCCTCCAGATAATATAATATAATCAACACAATTATACAATCACATCACAGTTCAGAGCAGTTACTCAATGCCATACACCATCCAAAATGATTTTAATCTACACATCAATTTAATCCTCACTGCAATTCTATGAGGCAGGTACTATAATCACTACCATTTTACAGATAAGGACACTGAGGCACAAGGAGGTTAAAATAAAATTTGCTCAAGGTCACACAGCTAAGAAATGTGTCCAGGGGAAATGACCCAGCCTCTGCTCCTAACCACTGCTCCAGCCCGCCTCAATGGCAGAAGTGTGTACAGAGCAAAGAGGGAGGCAGGGGAAGAAGTGAACTACTTGGGGTGGAGGGAGGAGGGGCTACCCAGGAGGACTTCACGGAGGAGGTGGCAGCTGTGAAGGAAGAGGAAATGGGGAAGCACACACATCCCCTAAAGTCCTAAGGTGCCTTGTCCACACAAAGACTAAAGCTTTCCAAACTGGACCACAGTTGCTGGCCTCCATACACATATTAAGTGCCTACTGTATGCCAGGCAGTGGGAGTATAAAACATAAATCTTACTTTTGCCCTTAAGGTGCTCCCTGTCTAGGGAGGAAAACAGAACCCCCAGACAGGATTTCCAACTGCCCCAAGTGAGTGAGGGTGAGTGATCGAGTGAGGTGAGTCCCCTGGAGCCGCGCTTGGCTCCGACGCTCAGGATCTTCTGTGTCTTCTCTGCGTTTCCATTCTCCTCCCTTTCCCCCCTGCAGGAAGTCACTTCCTTCCTCGGTATAGACGCCAGCACCAGAGGAGCCCACCAGTTGGAGGGGCCCCCGAGAACGCCCTCTGAACTGGCCTGGTGGTCGAGATGGAAAATGTCCCCCTCTGTCGGGCCTCTACGTCCCCACTGCCCGGGGTACCAGGGGCAGCTGGGTCGGCTCCTTGTTTCCTTCCATCCTCTCCCTCAAGCACCCCCACACTGGAGAGAGCGGTGCGGAGGGCAGCCTCCCTCCTCTCCTAGCAATACTCAGGTTCGCCTTGGAGGCCCCCTTTCTGCACCGTGTAGCAGCCTGCAGGTGGGTGGTGCTGACGGACCCCCCCACCGCTGACCTCAGTCTGAGAGTGGACCTGACCACCAAGCCCAGGGGGCCTGAGAACTGGCTATAACTCAGTCGAACGAGACCCATCTAATTGTGAACTTTCTCAGGAGGGAACGAGCTCTCTGTTGCCGTAGCCGTGCAAACCATCCACCCGCACGCTGCTGGAAGATGCCTACCTGGCCTGGAATGCTGACCTGGCCCATCTCCAAAGTCCCTTCTCCGTTCAAGCTGCTCCGATTTTGGCCTGTTTATGAAATATTTGTTTCATGCCAGACATCATTCTAAAGGCTTTACGTGTATCGAATACTTCAGTCCTCACAGAAACCTCATGTGGGTAGGTGTTATTATTGCCCCCATTTTACAGATGAGGAAACTGAAGTTCAGAGACTGTAAGCCACCTAACCTAAGTCCACACAGCTAGTAAGCAGTGGAACAAGGACTTGAGTTCCCGGCTGCACTTCTAATCACTATGCTCTCCTGCAATTCATTTGATTCTCCCGGAGGGGCTCGTATTACAACCCTCATTTAGTGATGGGGAAAAATGAAGTGGCCTGCTTGGGGGTCCCAGAGGGGACCACAGTGCAGGGTTTTCCTATTGGACACATACTCAGAGTTAGATAAGACTCTCCTTGCTAACTCTGTTGGGGGGAGGCAGCAAGGAGCTAGTGCCCCCTCCCCAGCCCCTGCCACACTGAAAATAATCCTGAAGATCTGAAAAACAAAGGTGGCATCAGTTTTCAACCTTTATTCCATGTTCACCACGTGCCAAGGCCTTGTTAGGATTAGGCTCTTGGTACCGTTGTGTCCCCAGCAGAGACAAGCACCGACCAGGAGGCTAATCACTGGAGGTCCTTGGGCGGCGGGGACCAGAGCTCGAAGGTCCCGTACTCAAGCCGCCACCCCCTCCAGCCACGAGGACAGCCCCTGGGTTGTCCTGTGCTGATGGTGCCACCTGGTGGCACATGTGGCTCTCACCTGCGATGTCTTCCTCTCCAGGTCACTTCTTCCCTCTCTGGGGTCTTGGGCTGCCCAGAGGCCACTACTCAGCAAGGTCAGAGCCGGACATGAGAGGTCGCATGATAAAGTCGCAGGGGGCAGGGGGTGGACAGGGCCGGCAGGACCAGGCATGCGCTGGGGGCCTGTGGGAACAGAGGGCAGGGCATGCGGCTGCAGGGCCCCAGCCCGCCTGCCTCCTTGGGCACACACAGGAGCCTCCTTCAGAGCCCGCCCCACTCTGTCCTAACAGCTGCTTTGGCTGGGAACACCTTAGAAATTCCTCTTGGAAAGCTTCATAGGAGCCAGTTATTGGGCGCCAGGAAAACCAGTCCATGGCCCCCAGCAGGGCTCCCCATAGAGTTCAGCCAATTAAGGAAGCAACTAGCCTCCCCCGAGGCTAATTCATGCACTGGCACCTCACACAGCTTTATGGTTCTTTGGGACAGAGGGCCTCAGCTCCCTGTGGGCAGAGCGGGCTGTGTGGCAGCCACTCCTTACAAAGATTCCTGGTCCCACACCAGCGATCCAGCTCCACAAGGCTTCCGGAGGCCAGAGGACCTGTGTTTTAACAGATGCTGGTTGTCACACTTGAGAAACTGCCCGAAGTGCTTCCCAAGGCAGATTTCCAAGGGGCTGTGGGTAGGGTGATGGGCAGCTCTCCAGGGGGCCTGCTCTGAAGGGGCCACTGGCCAGCAGGAACCCTTCAAAGAGGGTTCCTTCCTTCCTTCTCCCCCCTTCTCCTCCACTTGTCCTCCCTCCCTTCTCCCTCCCCCTTGGAAGGCCGGTGTGATGGAACTGGAACAAGCCCCCTCCATTTGCATCCCAGCCTTACCTCCTAAGCCAGTGGGGGCAGTTTCCTCACCTACAGTATGGGGGTGAAATACCCACCTTGCACGGATTGGATGAGGAACAGTTGTGGTAACACAGGTGAGAGTGCTTGGCAAAGAACGAGATGTTGATTGAAAGTAGCTGTTTTGCCTCAGCCTTTGAGCCTCTCTCGAGTAGGTCTCTTTACAAGAGGTGGGCCGGCGGCTCGGAGGGGAGCAGGTTCTGCAGAGAACAAGCGTCCAGCATCAGGAGATGAGGCAGGTGTAGCCCCCAAGGGTGTGCGGTTATGGATGAGGAACTCTGCCTGGGGGGCGGGTCTGGGGGCAGCAGGGAGACACGCGGGAAGGTTGGGGAGTGGGAACGGGACGGGAGGCCTTCCAGGCAGCCTGGAGTCCTCGAGCTGGACCCCTGGTAGGTTCCAGAGCAGGGTGCAGGGGGCTGGGCAGCATCCGGTGACTCTCCCACCAGCTGACCCCTCAGGAAAGCTCTGCTCTCCCCTCTCCTCCCTGCCCAGAGGTACCTTTCCTCTCACTTCTCTTCCCATCGAACTGTGTCTAGGCCCGCTCCCTCATACCCTCTGCCTGGGGAGACCTGGGTCAAGGTCAGAAGGCCTTAGGTCCACAGACAGCAAAGAACCCAAGCCAGCACCTCTAGTTCCTACAGGAGTCCAGAAATCCCTCCAATGGCCCACAAGGAACTTTGGTTCGCTCATTCATTCATTCAGCAAACATCTCCAGGGCGTTGCTCTGAGCCAGGCCCTGTCCTGGGCCCTTTCCATCTAGGACAGAGCTTGACACCCACACATCTAAGTCACAACCCAGTGGGAACCCAGTGTGAAGGGGACACAAGCCCAGATCAGGCTGAGCCTGCCATGGAAACCAAGGCCACAACATTCACAGAGTCTTGGTAAGATGCTCCAGGAGTAGAAGAGAGAGGGCTGGCAGGAGGGGCTGGGACGTCAGGTCCAGGCTAAGAAGCTGAGACAGGACAGGGGTCCAGGGGAGCCAGACTGGGACGGACTCCCTCCTCCCCCATCCTCTGACGAAGCTACCTTCTCTCTCCAGTGTCAACAATCAGATGAATGAAACCATTTATTTTTCTATTAAAAAATTACTGGTATTGCAACTAGTATAGATTCCTACTGTTTTCACTTCACAGTACAGATTTTCAGCCACACTCTGAGTTAAGCAGATTCCTGGCTGTTCCTGGAAGCCCGGCATCATTTATGACACGGTTTCTGAGTGGAAAGACTTTCTCCAGAAGACACAGCTCATTTGGAAGTAAAGAGATTTCCTGCGTTCACTGGAGTGAAAACCCCGTTCTTTACAAAACCGCCTGCAACACTGAGGAGAGGTGGTGGGCTTTTTAGGACCAGAAATCTTCATGGGGCGTGCTGATCGAGAAGGACCACAGTCTGCCCTTCGTCCAGGTAGAAAAAGAAAGGGGAGAAGTCAGCTGAGTCTAGACCTTTGGATGCTGCGCCGTGAAATTTCCACCAGGTCACAGCAGATGGGCAGCAGCCTGAGAGCCCAAAGATTTCACTCACCCAGAAACCTCCTCCCCAGGAAATTCCCCCACCCCCACGGAGCCCAAAGGAAAGTATTTTCAGGCTTCTTCCATTGGACTTGGGTGAAAGTATTCCTAAGCAGCGGCCCAGCCTGGCTGGGAGCCCGGGCCTGAGTCACCGCATCCCTGCGCCCTGCTGGCCACTTCTTTTCCTTTCTTCCCTCCCTGAATCTAGCTGCTGATCTTTGTGTCACCACCTTCTGGAAGATGAGCCATGCGCAGGCCATGGCCATCCCTGAGCTGCCCATGGGACCGGGGCTGGGCTCCTTGCCAGATGCAGCTGACCTCAGAGTAGGCAGGAGGCCCATTGTCACCTGGCCCAGGGCCTGGACCCAGGCAAGGGTCCCCTCTGACACCATCCTTCCCCCTCCCCCCCAGAGGGGGAGGGGAGGAGACTAGCAAATGGTGCTGGGGTCCGGGCAGCTGAGGGGACAGCTGTGCTTGGGGTCAGGTGGGAAGGGTGGAAGCAGGGGTGAGAGCAGGAGGCCTTGGCTGTTTGCGGAACACACTGGGGGAGGAGGAGATGAGGGGGGATGGGTTCAGTGGGCTTCCTGGGGTCTGCAGGTGGCCTGGGGCTCCTGCCACCTCTCCCTGGAGTCCCTATGGCTTTGCTCCCTCCCCTCCCCACCCCTCCCTCTGCTTGTGTTCCCTTGACGGGAGGCTCTCAGGCTCACGGAGCCGCCCCTGCCCTGGATGAAATGTCTTTCCCTCGGAGTTGTTTTTTTTTTTTAAGAAGGATACAAGTCCTCCTTTTTTTTTTTTTTAAATTTACTTAATTTTGGCTGCGTCGGGTCTTCGTTGCTGCGTGCAGGCTTTCTCTAGTTGCGGCGAGCGGGGGCTACTCTTCGTTGCAGTGCATGGGCTTCTCATTGCAGTGCCTTCTCTTGCTGCGGAGCACGGGCTCTAGGCGCACGGGCTTCAGCAGTTGCAGCACACAGGCTCAGTAGCTGTGGCTCATGGGCTCTAGAGCACAGGCTCAGTAGTTGTGGCACACAGGTTTAGTTGCTCCACGGCATGTGGGATCTTCCCAGACCAGGGCTTGAACCCATGTCCCCTGCACGGGTAGGCGGATTCTTAACCACTGCGCCACCAGGGAAGCCCTTTCCCTCGGAGTTTTCACCTCCAGGTCTTTCTTCTTCCATTTCCCGAGCAGGTCTCTTTCCTTCTCACAGGTGAGGACAGGGGGGTGTGGTGTCCTGCCTCCCCTCTTCAGGCCAGGACATCCCTGGTCCTGATCATTCCCCCCACCCGGCTTCCAGACCCTTCCCCATAGAGGGCTCCTCCAGCCTGCATCTCCCTAGTGCCCAGCTGGGGTCTGACCAGGGCTGAGGTCAATGGGACCACGGCCCTGCCCACATTCTGGACAGATGCCTCCTGAGAATCCCCTACCTCCTTCTGGGTCCCCTGTTTCCCCTGAGCTGCTGGTCGACCCTCTGCTGTGCCCCCTCTATGCCCCAGAGGCCACCCCCCACGTGGGTCCTCTTTTGAAGTAACTCATGATGTTGACTAACGTCTGCCTCTCCCGTGGCAAAGCCTGCCCTTCCCTGAAGGGGCCCATTAGGGCGGCCCGAAGGGAGAGGCACTGCCGCAGAAGACCCCCTCTTTATCCTGACAGGCTGATCCTAACCCCTCACATCACTGGCTGAGATTGTTCACAGGTCATTTTGAAAAGGCTTTCTCGGGCTCTCGGGATCCGCTCTCTATGCGGAAGTTCAGAGCAAAGGCAAAGATAATACTCACCCTCTTAGCGGGGCCCACGGGAGGAACTGAAACCATCTTTGTGAGACACGCGCCAGGAAAAGACGGAGGGAAGGGGCTAAGAACTGGCATCTGTTACGGACGCAGGAGGCCTGCAGGCACTTTACACACGTGATGTCACAGCCCCCCAGGAGGGACGCGATCCCCCTGTTGACAGAGAAAGAACCGAGCTGGGGAACCCGGCCAGCCAGGACCCAGAGCGAGGCAGTGGTAGGAACAAGCCCCTCTCTTCTCTGGATACCGCCTGCTCTCAGCACAGAGGAAACTGGGGTCTGAGGCTTACGGTTTCCAGGGGATTTTCACTGGAAAAAATCCCTACAAGTGCAAAGCCAATTTTAGGTACGACTGTGAATATTAACTTCCCCTTCTTGTGAGAACAGAACACACAAGTTACAAGTTCTAAAAGGCTGACAAAACCATAACATTAAGCAACCCAGGAACATAGACTATTCTGTATGGACTGCCCGCCCACCTCTACAATGCATTCCCTGTGATTCTGTACACTGATCACCTCTTTGTTGGACAAGGATTCTGGAACGTCATATTCTATCGAGAGAATATAAACTTCGACCAAGTTTCCTTCATAGATGAGCAGGAAGAATTCAGGGCATGTCCAGTTTCCTCACGCGGGGACTCCCCTGCTCCTTGGATGGACAACCCTCCTTACCCAGTGTGGCTGTGCTGTCCTCTCTGCAGGGACCTATTGTGAGTTATGTTCATTGATGTCAATATTTCATGTCAAATCACCAGGAGATTTAAACTTTATTCCATCGTGTTCATCGGATGTCCTCTTCTTCATTCATCGGTGGGAGAATTCCTGGAAGCCATCTGGACCCTCAACGGCCCAAGAACTGGCCTCCACGTGGAGGTAACTGGGAGCCACATAACCCAGGGCCAGTCCAGCACCAGCCGCCTGGAAGAGAGAAGAGAAGGGAATTGAGGGGAAAGAGGTTTAACTAACTGAGGTTGAAATGTCTCACATCTGCAAACCTTACAGAAACCTATGGTCATGTGAACGCAATGCAGTTACATATTGCAATTCAGTGGCCGAAATAAAGCCTGTATTTTGACTGAATGGCACCGACTGAGCAGGTACATCCAGGCAGGTGGAACCAAGCCACTCCTTGGCTGTTCCAGAAAAAGTGCCCCAAAGAGGATGTGGCAGCCAAACTCCTGCTAGTTTTCCGTCTCTCTCAAAAGGCGCAGCCTTGGAAATAACCCTTGCAGGTAGGGGTGGCCTCTCTGCCTTATAGGAAACTGAGTCTGGACTTGGAGGCAGGAGTTCCGGGTTCAAGGCCCAGTCCGGCCTCTTCCTACCTGCGGGAACTTGGGCAAGTCATGAGGGTCCTCTGAGCCTCCCCTTCCTCCACCATGAGGCCGATGAAAAGAACAGCCACAAGGAATGGGAGTGCCTGTGAGTGAGAGCCCGTGGACGTACACGGGGCTGTTCACTTCTGTCCGGGGATGCTGCCGTCTGGGGCTCTGCAGGGGGGCCCAGGAGCCCGGTGCTGGGAGCTCCTCTGTCTCCCCAGGCATGGAGAAGGGGGTGATGTCTCTGATCAGGATTCTGAACCAGTTCCAACTAGGCTGTGGTTTCCCAGCAGGCGGGGCGCCAGCCTCCCGCCCTGGCCTCGGCCTGCCCTCCACACGGGGGCGCTCTGACCAGCCCACCCGGCCACCTCGGCAGCCAGGCTCCGCCTCGTTTCCTTTCCCTTTCAGACCTGACGGATGACTGACGGCTCCTCCTCCAGCTGTAGAGAACTCCAGCCCGCACTTTGCCTCCAACTCGATCGTGCAGGACCCAGCTCCCCTTCATCCTGGCACCAAACGTCTGTTTGATCAGCTTTTCATCCGTTTTCCGAAAATGTGGTGATTTGAGGCTATTCTGAATCTTGCAGAACTGTACGTGTTGCACCCTGGCAAGATATTGATGAAGCCCCAAAGCTGATACTGGAGATGCCCTGCTCTCTGACGGCCCCTTCATCCCCTCACGGCCCCCGCCATGGCCCCCACAGCCCCTGGCTCTCTCCTCTTTGCCAGGGCCACCGTGAGGGACAGAGGGTCAGCTGAATGCGCTGAGCAGAGGGTCAGAGAGGCGGTGAACGTGTCCTCACCGGGTGGGGATCCTCTGTCCCGCCCCACCCCCAGGTCAGCTGGGAGGGGAGAGGTGGGGCGGGAGGGGCGTTGGGGTAGCATACAACAAGGTGGCATCTCCGTCCTGACATCCTGGATTCCACGGCCCCTCTGCTCAGCCTTCGTGACAGTAAAAAAAAAAAAAAAAAAAGATTGTTTAAGTGCTGGTTAAGTGTTCTGCATCTCACATCTTTAGTAATAAGCTTTCTCATTTGACAGCAAATCCCAGTTTTACAAAGCACTTTTTCAACCATTTTTTTCCCTTGTGCACAGACCCCTGTAAGGTAGCAGCTCCCCAACTTTTCAGAGAAGGGAGCCAGGCATCGGAGAAGCTGTGGCAAGTTCATGAGTTACTGTCAAGGATGCTCATAGGTTGATCCAGCAACAGAAAAGCCAGGGGTACCCTGATTGGGAGCTGCGGGCGTCAGGGCAGGGAGCCAGGGGCCTGGTAGGCAAGGTTGTGGGTGGTGGCAGTGGACCTTGGACCAGGGCTCAGGATGAAAGCTCTGAAATCCCAAGGGTGAGGAAGGAGGACGAACAGAGCAGGGCAGAAACAAGGGCCCAGTGAGGATGCTGGGGGACAGAGTGAAATCAGAGCTCAGAAAGTGTAATAATCAAAGATCTATAAAGACAAAGCTCATCACACCCGCCCTCCCACCCCTCAGTCCCTCTCCCCCAAAGGGGTCTACACCCTCAGGCTCACCTGCAACCTTCCTCACTCTTCTGACCTGCAAACAAATAAAGCACAGAGCCACACACAGCCAGGGAACTGGGTTTGTTGGTTTTTACTGCGGTGGGGCCATCCTCGCCCTTTTCACCTGAATGCGTCTTGCTTCGGGCCGGTGGGCAGGCCGGTGTGGGCTGCTCCAGCCTGCGCCTGGCCGGTCAGCTAAATCGGGAGGGAGGGCCAAGCAAGGCTGCAGAAAAGCAAAGATCTGTTGATCTGCTCTGCCCGGGGTGGGGTTGGGGGGACTGGCCCTGGGGGAAGAGGCAGAGGGCAGGGAACTGAAAGAAGCCAGCTGCGGTGGGGACAGCCCTGCCCGATTGACTGACCTGGAGAGGGCAGGAGTCCCCACAGGACAATCAAGGCTGTTCCTAGGGCAGGGTGGGGCGGCAGGGGGAACAGGGGAGGCCCAGCAAAAACTGGCAGAACCGCCCCCATCATAAAAGGATATGTTCTCGTCAGGCTCTTTTCTAATCCAGACTTCCCTCCCCCCCATTTCTCCAGGTCGCCTTGTTTCACCACAGACACCACTGGGGAAATTGCTGGGAGAAGGAAGGAGGGAGAAGCAATGGGATTTATTAGGAATGGTGACTTTGTGATTTTCTGCTGCTAAGCAGCAACACTAGCTTGCCCTCCCCCCGCCTGCCGGACAGAGGAGAGGGGAGAGGGAGGCGCAGCCCCAGCCCGAGGTCTGGGCGGGACAGCCTGGGGCAGCGAAGACTACAAGGCCACCAGCGAGCACCAGGGCCCCAGCTTCTCTCCGCCCTCTCTGAGACAGTCTTACTGAATGTAGTCGGTTGAACTGTGTTCCCCAAAAGATATGTTCAAAGACTAACCCCCTGTGAATGTGACTTTATTTGGAAATAGGGTCTTTGCAGATATCATTAGTTCCTTTCATCTCGAGATGAAATCATCTTGGATTTAGGGTCGGCCCTAAATCCAGTGGCTGGTGTCCTTGTAAGAAGAGGAGGGGACACACAGAGACACAGGAAGCAAGTCCACATGAAGATGGAGACAGAGACTGGGGTGATGTAGTTACAAGCCAAGGGATGCTGGGGGCCACCAGAAGCTGGGAGAGGAAAGGAAGGATTCTCCCCCAGAACCTTCAGCAGGAGCATGACCCTGCCGACATCTCGACTTTGGAGCGCTAACCTCCAGAACAAGTGTCTGTTGTCTGAAGCCACTCAGTTCGTGGTACTTTGTCACAGCAGCCTCAGGAAACAAATCCACCGAATAAAGAAACCAAGTAGGGATCGTTAGGGAGGATGATGACTCCTGAAGAAGAGGCAGGCAAGGGATTTTAAACACCTCTGAATCCACTTGGGAGCAACCCTTTTACAACAAGGAGTAGTAAGAGAGAAGTAGGTAACCTTTTATTGTAAAGCCACATAACCTTATGAAAAGTCTGGAAAATAGAAAAGCACATTTATCTGTTATCCCATGATACCCTTTGGAGTCTACAGACCTGGGTTCAAATCCCTGCTCCATCTTCCTTTTGACTTGAACGTAATTCACTTCTCTGAGCCTCAGTTTATTCATCTGTAAAGTGGGGATAATAATCCCGCCCCCCCCCCCAAATTTATTAGAATTAAACAAGAAAATACACACTAGGTCCTAGCACGTGCCTGGCTACTCACCAAATCTTAGGAAGGTGCTTGTTGAATACTGGTTCCTCCCCCTCTCTGATAAAAAGCTCCAAAATGATGAGACTGAGTTCATTTTAAAATCCCTAAATGTGGATGTATCACAACTTTCTTCTTCCTTTATTTGGAAACAATGAAGGTTTTTTTTTTTTTTTAACTTTTAGAAAGATTTATTTTTAAATTTACATACAATAAAATTCACTCTCTTGGGTATATAATTCTCTGGGTTTTGACAAGTGCATAGAGTCGTGTAACCACTACCATAGTCAATATAAAGAACATTCCAGGAACTTCCCTGGTGGCCCAGTGGCTGAGACTCCGCATTCCCAATGCAGGGGGCCGGGGTTCGATCCCTGGTTAGGGAGCTAGATCCCGCATGCATGCCGCAACTAAGGAGCCCGCCTGCCCGACTAAAAAAAAGGATCCCGCACACCGCAACGAAGATAACTTGTGCCACGGCTAAGACCCAGCGCGGCCAAAATAAATAGATAATAATAAAAAAAAAAAACAGTCCATCACCTCCCCAATTCCCTCCTGCAGCCCCTTTGTGGTCAGACCCCCGCCGCAGCCTTCAGGAACCACTGGCCTGTTCTCCTTTTGTCTTTTCCAAAAAGAGGTTCATAGAAGTGGAATCGCAAGCACGTGGCCTATCGCGTCTGGATTCTTTCACTGGACATACGTTTCTGAGGTCCGTCCATGCTGTCGTGCGGCTTCCCCCGTATTGAGGAGGGGTTCCCGCCGAGTGTGCTCCTGTGTGGATGACCACAGTGGCTGATCCCTCCAGGTGAAGGATGCGGGCTCTTCCCCGATTTCAGTGACTATGAATAAAATTGCTATAAGCATTCATGTCTGGGTTTTCGTGTGAACATGAGTTTCCATTTCCCTTGGGTAACACCTGAGAGTGGGGTTCCAGGTTCCCATCAGGTTTCTAATGGCCTCTGAGTCAGACCTGCTCAGAGGTAGGGTAGAGAGGGGAGCACGGTCTGGGAAGATCTGGGTTCCTGTCGCAGCTCAGGGATGACAAAGGTCAACCAACTGAGGAGCACTGCTGTCACTTCAGCCTCCTCCAGGTCTGCTTCCCTTCTCTTGGAACGACCAGGCCAGGGTGGGGAGGAGGGTGGCCAGCGACGGGCCCTAGGACTAAACCGAGCTTTGTGGTATAATCCATATGTTCCGCTGCAGCCCTCCGGGGTGGGGAGGTGGGAGCAGCTCTGTTTAGTTCTGGCGCTACTGGGCCTGCAGGTGGGTCTGTGCCATCCTTGCTCTCGCGGCTGTTTCTGGACTATTCTCCTCCCTCTTCCTTACAAAGCCTCCCTCTGCGCCTCCCGTCCTCAGCTCTCCTTACGTGTCACCTGTTACCTCTCCTTGCGGCAGGTACCCAGACCTCCAGGCCACGCCGCCCCCGGTCCTTGAAGATCCTAGCGCATGGCCTCCTGTCCCATCCACCAACTGCTCCTGTCTTCTCAGTGATTCCAGAATCCGTGTCGATAGTCCTTAGGCCTCTCAGTCCTTCACTTTCTCTCCTCCAATGGCTTTGTCCTCCTCGAAGCCCAAGGACCCAAGGCACGCTCTGGACCTTGCACCTGTGCCCAGATCCTTCAGCCCCTCAATCTCTAGCACTTCTTCGTCACCACCTCTTACCATCCACTTCCTGCTTCCGGATTCCTGGTTCCAACAATCCTTGGCTACCTCAGGACCTACGAGGCATGATCTTACCCTCACCCCATCCTCACTCAGCACCACAGCCACTCTGACACCTGGAACCCCCCTCTCCATCCTCATCCTACTTGCCTGGGGAGAGCCCGGCTCTGGTTAGATCCCACCCTCCACCCACCTGTGCAGACGCCCACTCTCCCCAAGGTGGCTGGAGGCCAACACACATCCCCACGGACCGCTGTCACTCACGATCCAAACCGCCCACCCCGAAGGGGCCCCACTGCCACCTGGTCCAGTTGCTGCCCCCGCTCCTTGAGGAATAACCCCACCTCCCCTCTCTGCTTCGCCCACCTGCTGTACTTTCCTGAGGAAAAGGAGAACCGGCCAGCAAAGAACTCAGGATCCCTCAAGATCCCTTGCCTCCATCCTTCTGCTTGTTCAGACTAAAACCTTGGGGTCGTCCTCACGTCCCCGCCTCCTCTCACACCGCACCCCTCCACCTGAAAGTATCCCCACAATACAGCCCCTCACGTCCCCTCCACGCCACCGGCCCCCTCCGAGCCCCTGTCTCCCACCCGGTTCACCGTGCAGCCTCCCCGCCAAGCGCCCGCCTCTGCCTACGTGTCCTTCCCCAGCTTGTGCTCAGCAGCAGAGGGCTAAGCCGGGTCGCGTCACACCTGCACACCCTTCGTGTCACTCGGGGTCAAAGCCAGTGTCCTTGAGCCCTCACAGGCTCTCTAGGACCTGCTGCCACCCCACCTGTTACTTTCCGTCCAGCCTCCTCCCCTTCTCTCTCAGGCTCACCCACTCGCCACACTGGCCTCCTTGCTGGTTCTCCAGCCAAACTCGCTCCCCTCTGAGCCTTGCTACTTGCCGATCCCTCTGCCTTGAGCCTTGCCCCCCAACAATATCCATGACAGTCCCTCCCGTCACCGTTTCCCAGCTTCACTAAAAGGCTCCCCTCCTGGGGAGGTCTTTCCAGGCCACCCCGTCTAAAATGGCACCTTCTCCAAGCTGCGTCTCCCTCCCTGCCTGTGTTCTTCTTTGGCACTACTGCAGTGTCTTTTTTATCTTCTTTTACCTTGTTTGCTGTCCATCTCCCTTTACTGGAACATGAGCTCCACGAGACCAGTGAGTTGTCATTTGCCCACTGCTGAGTTCCCAGCACTGTGGCAATGCCTGGCACATAGCAGGAACTCAATGAGTTTCTGCTCTCCTGCGCTGCCCGCACCCACCCGGGACCTCTCCTGGGGCCGTATCCTGTCCTTCTTGCCAACTCAACCCACTGCTTTGGAAATTCTCCCTGGCTCCTGCATCATTCCCCGCTTGCTGTTGGGTCATTTCCATCAGTGTACAAACATGCAAATACACTGGATTTTCTCCTTCTTAAGAAGAAAACAACCAAGGACTTCCCTGGTGGCGCAGTGGTTAAGAATCCGCCTGCCAATGCAGGGGACATGGGTTTGAGCCCTGGTATGGGAAGATCCCACATGGCGCAGAGCAACTAAGCCCATGCACCACAACTACTGAGCCTGCACTCTACAGCCTGCGAGCCACAACTACTGAGCCCACATGCC